GGTTCTAACAAAAATATTTAAAAAATAAACAGTGTGATGCATCGGGATTGGCGCATCAGCACTGTGTCTGGGAACACACACCTGGAGCTGAGCATTGTAGTGCAGCTGCTGGCATGTATGCAGAATAAATGTCGGACCGTGGTACGGACTGAATGACCGTTGTGTACAGACCTTGGCTCAATGAAAATTTTACTTACCGGACCTCCTTATATTTTAATTCACTACCCCTGCTCTGCACAATCAGGTCCGACTCTTGACTGCTTGCACATACTGAACCAGGAGGACACAGCTTTAGAACAACATACTTTATGTTAATCGGTCAGCAGAGATCTGTGATGAAGTCCCTATGCCCAAAATATAAAATTCAATGATTGTCAACAGTACACTGTTATCAGCAATGTAACCTGCTTTGTAAGCAACAAGTATTAAAAAGTGCTAAATTCCAAAGTACTGAATTCTATAAAACAGCAGCAGGCACCTAACTGAAAAACCGCTTTCTAAATCCTAATGAAAAAACAGAATCTGTAAACCATTAGGATCAAAATAGCAGAAGGCAATTAATGAAAGAATCTAACTAGGTTCCATGCGTTATTGTAGATTGAACTTCCTAGAAAGGTGGTGTTATGGAGCTGAAGCTATAAATTCAGATGGAACCAGGTAAAATACAAAGATGCGGTTTTCCTTTTATCCACTAGAGGGAGCATAGAACATTTTCTTAATGAAGCCTGCAGGAGCACATGGGGAGAGAAGATTCAATCAAAGCCTATATAAGTGACTCTAATGTCCGCTGAGATCATTAAGGAAGATTAGGTCTGCTAAAAAATTCAACAGCTTTTAAACGTTCATTAATAAAACCTTCCTGAATCATGTTCCTTAGGTCTGATATCCGTGTAAAAGGTACAACACCGATGCTGTTAAATGTTAAGTGTAGTACAGAGCATGCTGTGAGACATTGATCACCATCAAGCCTTAGGCTGGCCATACACCTATAGACTAGCAAGATACTGAAGCTTGGCCCAGTGGGAGATTCCTCCATCCACACAGTTTAGCATAGATGGAGGAATCTGTTGCACTTTTTCCATCTGACCATAGAACATCTGCAGATAATCTATAGGTGTATGGCCAGCTTTCGGGTTACTGTACAATGAACACCAGGCTCAGAAAAAAAAAAAAGTCAAACCTAGCGTGCGTTTAAAGTGAAATATCCTCTATGTTACATGTATTGACATGATTTACTTTGCAACCACATGGCATTCCTACCGACTTGTAGAGCTCAAACACAGAACTGCTGTGTTTACAAATGCACATTTACATAAATGGAAACTTTAACACTGCTCAATAGGATCTAAATGAAAGTTCAAACTCTGTTCCAAATCGTTCAAAAATGCTTCAAACTGTCACAGACCATAGTAGGACCTGGAATCGAAGGAGCGAGGTTCCTTGGTAGTCATCGAAGGAGCGAGGTTCCTTGGTAGTCATCGAAGGAGCGAGGTTCCTTGGTAGTCATCGAAGGAGCGAGGTTCCTTGGTGCTCATCGGAGGAGCGAGGTTCCTTGGTGCTCATCGGAGGAGCGAGGTTCCTTGGTGCTCATCAGAGGAGCAAAGTTCCTTGGTGCTCATCAAGAGCAAGGTTCCTTGGTACTAAATTGGAGAAGCAAGGTTCCTTGGTACTCATCGGAGGAGCAAGGTTCCTTAGTACTCATTGGAGGGTAGCCCTGTTTTCTATGTGAGCCGTCTAAGCAAAGCCAGTGAACTTTCCAAATGACTTTCCTTCACCTTTACTGTTCTGTATGAATAAACATTGAAGTCTCAGCACCTATCCTTTTGGAAAGGGTTTTTATGGCAGAGAAGATTCTGTATGTCCCTTCTGTCATAATTGCATGTACAATTAGGACATTTGCGGGAGTTACAGCATCCCGACCCAGCCAATCAAGAGGCCAAAAACGCCAAACTGGGAAGAGGACCGGAGAAGATTGAAGCGCCAGCAATGGAGGGGAACAATGGCATTGCGGTGCTGAAGGGGATCATCTACAAGGTAAGACTGCCATAACGTGCTAATTTGCTTTGAATACTAGCCCATTATGGCAAACGGTCCCTGGAGGTCCATCATTTTCTTATTGTGGGGGTGGTTTGCTTCTGCTGGTCATACACAGAGTAAATTTTCGGCCAGTTCCTAATGAACCAGCTCAAATTCAAGGTGTGGGTGGCCCTGCGGGCAATCCTCTGCTTGACAGTCAATTTCTAATTTTCAATCTCCAATAAGCCTGTCTGAAATTTTTCGGAGGATAAGCACCTGCATCCAACCAGAGGCATGCACTGTCCAGGTGTTCAGCAGCCAGTAGAGCAGTAGCTGCTGAATACAATAGCCGGCAGTGGGGATTCTTCCATCCACATGGTTTCGCTTGGATGAGGAAATTGATGAATTCCCTAGGGCAGTTTGAAGAGTGTATGGCCAACTTAACCCTACCCTTCACCCCTGCAACAGTAAACACTAATCATTAAACATCAATGGCAAAACTCTAAACCCCCTAAACACACACATGGTGTGGAAACCCCAGCACTAGGCAGCCGGGATCTGTCAATGTTTACCCAGCATTGTGCAATAAAGACAATACTGGCTATAACTATAATGCAACATTTCTAAATTGTGAATATTGGGATTTTTCCAGCCCTGGATTAGGATAATATATTTCTCTATCAGGGCCAGACAAATCCCATCAGCAAGGTGGTTGATGGTCCGTAAAATATACAACTAGAGCCTTAGCAGTTGTCCAGTTGTTGTCAATGAAATTGGCTCCTTAAAAAAATCCTGCTGGCTCCTGGACTGGACAGACAGGCTCCTGAATTCCATATTAATTGTCTATCCCTGGTCTATATTGCCATTGTAATTTTTAAAAAAGAGAAAAAAGTCCCAAAAAGTTAAAATAACAGATACCACAATACCAACAGTACAATCTTTCTTTACAATACAGCTTTTAATTCCCAGGTACGCTCTGATATATCGGGCAATGTCAAACATTTACCAGGCACTATCCGCAGTGACTTTCTTCAAACACATTAATTCCTGAAGGAATCACCAGATTAAAGATTAAAAGATTTTATTGCATTGCAATGACAATCCCCAGCCTGCAGGAAGACACCGCGCTGATAAGAACAGCACAGCTTCTTACATTTATAAATGCTTTTGAACTTCCTGCCAACATTTAAAAAAAGTTTCAACAAATCTGGATGTCTACGTTATGGTATTGAAGAATTGTCCTCCTTGTAAATGTTGCCCCCACCCCCCAGACTGAACTCTAGAAGGATAGGTGGAGGGGTTTCCTCTAGTAACAAAACAGGTGGTTTCATTTCCTAAAGACGATGATACAAAACACCTTCTAAAAGGGACGTTCCAATGGATAAAATCCTCAATCTTCTCTCCATTTGTAGCACATTGGCTTAGTGGATGGCACGTATGCCTTGTAGCTCTGGGGTCTTTGGTTTGAATTCTAACCAGGACACTATCTGCAAGGAGTTTGCATGTTCTTGCCGCGTTTCATAGTTATAGTATTTGAGGTTGAATAAACACACAGGTCAACCAAGTTCAACCCTTGTGTCTGTGTGTGTAGTGCGTGCCTGTGTGTATACGAGTCTCTGTGTGGTCTTAGTTTTTAAGAGTACTTGTACCCCTGTATGTTACGTTCTATGAGGACCAGGAACTCCGCTTTCCTTTCACATTCCAAAGACATGCTATTATACTGACTGGCTCCTGTCCATACTGGCCCTAGTATGTGCGCAAGTGAGATGGGGACGTTAGATTGTATGCTCCTTGAAGGTACAGACTGATATTAATAGACAGTATGTAAAGCATGAATAGTAAATTGTAGCACAATATAAATACCTGTAATAACACAATCTGACAGAGTCCAGCGGATTATGCAATCCAAAACATGCACTAAAAGGAGTGTCAGGGCTTCCTATATTATTCAGTGTGGGCATGGTGTTACTGGAACAAATGAGTCAGTAGCCAGTAATACCAGCAATGATGACACTGAATTATGCAAGTCATTGAAACCCTCTACAGAGCAATACATGAGGAACCCAAAGATCTCTGCTTACAGAGAAACCAGTGAGAAGTTATGGGAGCCACCATTGCAGACTTGTTTTGGGTCCATCACTTTGATCCTGTAGTCACCATTTAAAGGAGAGCTATGAGGTGAGTGAAAATCACTCATCCTCATAGTTCGAGCCGACGTGTGACAATGAAACTGTCACACGTCGGCTCAATAGATCGGGAAGTGAGCGAAGACGTACCGTCGCTCGCTCACTTCTCGATCATCTCCCAGCAGAGAGAAGTGACTGTCAGTTACGGCTTCCTGCAGGGATTCCCCCCTCCCACTCCGATCCTCCATCGCTGACTGGAGGAACAGATGGGGAGAGGGCGGGTACAGCTGGCTCTGCCGCTAGATAGGCAGAGCCCGGTGTCACTCACGCAGCTGGTCTCAGTATACCGCGATACACTGAGCTTTGGGTCACGGGAGGAGGTTAGTATATGTTCTCCCGTGACCCTAAAGAGAACTATGGGGGAAAACACTTACCCCATAGTTTTTTTTAATTAGAAGCTATTTTTGAATTTCCAGGGTTGGCGACTGGTTACATTTAAAGTGCAACCAAAGCCAAAACTTTTTTTTTTTTTTTTTTTAGACAGAGTGGAGAGGGATGAGAACATATGTCAGGTAGATCCCCTCCTTAATTAGTCCTGGTGACTGTTATTGAACGTGAAAGAAAAGCACAAATTTGGGGTTGTCACCAGAACAGGAATAGATGCGAAATCTCCCAATGGACACACAAGTTCTGGTGACAACCAGGGATTTCCTCTCACTTTGGGTTGTTGCTATTGGACAGGAAATGAAGGAAAAGGCTTCAGTTCTACCTTACTGAAGAATTAATTACCATACAAGTCTGCATTTAAGGTAAAAAGAGAACTAGACTATAACAGCTGGATTGTGGAACAGTACTCACATCAGATGCAGGTCCTTTGTCGGCACCAGGGCAGGAGAAGGTGACAAATTCATGGCAGCGCTTGTGTACCACAAAGCAGCAAACTGTGGAGATAAGAAAGAAGAAAAGGTCATATTAAAGGATCAGAAGCTTCACTTTAGTTAATAATGCAATATCTTAAAATGTTATCAGCATTGTAGCAACAGAGGTGATCCACAGATTAGGGATTCTGGTATCTTTTCTTCTTGATGCGCTAAAGAAAGAATGATTGTGAGCAGTGTAATGACCAGAAAAAGCTTTAAAAACGGAATGAAGCTGAGGCAGACTTTGCTGTGTATACATGTGCCGACAGGGAACATACTGGCAGAAGGAGAGAGTAAAGTAAGTAAAGGAATATCATCATGAATGTGCTGCTGCTCCTACGTCCAAGCACAGGTAAGGGGCAGGGAGGTGACTAGGTTGTAGTGCCTAACTCAGTGTTGGGCAAATAAATATGGAATTCAGAAGCCAGTCTGTCCAATGCAGGAGCCAGCAGGATTTTGTTCAGGTGCCAGGTCCATTGACACACAACCAGTGAAAACCTCATAAGTTGGGCACCAGCTGTAAATTTTAAGAAGCATTGGCTACCTGGCTTCTGGAACTTATCTAGCCCTGAAGTGGAAGAATGTCATCATCAATGTGCTGTTGCTCCTTCCACGTCCAAACACGGACTCGGAAAAGGATTGGCAGCTCCGGCCCACAAGCTGTTCCAAGGTTGAACTTGATGGACTTGTCTTTATTCAACCTCAAATACTATGTAACTAGCTGTTGTGGAACCATGAAGCATCGCAAGACTGACAGTTACAGAAATTTCCGGTCACCTTGCTGTGCAGAAGGACTGGATGGACAAACATGTAAATTGTTTGGCTGGTAAAGCAGTTTCTTTTTTATGTTAAATGGTGTGTTTCATTTGTTCTGCACTGCTTACGCAAGCATCTTCTCCATCCTCCCCAGCAAGACACTGAGGTTTGGTGCCCACCTAGGCGTTTGCAGTCATGTGAAAGAAATGGTAACTATAACCGGGAAGGGACAATAGATGCTGTAATGTCAGACACCGGGCCGCCTCGCAGCAGGGAATCCCAGCCCTTATTGTGACCGCTTTGCACTGCCGCCGAGCTGGCCTCTCAGCTCACCTGCTGCATGAATTCATTACCATTTTGCAGCATTTTTTGGGTGATTAGCGTCGGCGAGGCCTCTCAGAAGTCAGCTGCCCCCCTGCCACCGGCTTGTGTTACACCCTCTCCTTGAAACCCCTTTGAGGTTTCGTTTCAGTCTTAATAATTGACGACAACATTAAATATACATCCGCTTGTCACCTCCCGGCCTCTCCAGGGCACCTGGCAAAGTCAACAGCCGCTCTGTCGTCTCTCTTGGGCTGCGCAAGGAGATTAATTATTGCATCCTTACGAGGGACTGGGGCTAATGGCGTGCCGCTGGCAGGCTGTGCCGGATGACAGCTCTTCGGGGGAACGTCATGCGTGCCGCAGTCTACTATTTGGCAATTGCAAACTCTCCAGATAGTTTTATTTATAAAACACAAAATATATTTACATATTTATCCAGAAGGCTGTCATTCGTGATCATACACAGGGGAGAGAGGATAGTTATATTACCTCCAGCTTGGCTGTGGCTACGACATCTCTGGCTGAGATTGCTTTTCTTTTCCTTCTCGGTGATGTCTCCATTTGTGTATAATAAGGGCCCGTGTACAGAGTGGGAGTCAGAACTGCTTTTCACCTCATATAAGTCAATGCAGGTAATGACTCGCCACCCGGCTTCCTGATTGGCTGGGAAGCCGGCTCCATGCTGTTCACCCGGGAAGCCCGTTTCCCAGCCAATCAGCATCAAGCAGGCCAAACAACATGAAGCCGGCTTCCCGGGCAATCAAGAAGTCGGCCAGAGGGAAATGACACACCGCCCGGCTTCCTGATAGCCCGGGAAGCCGGCTCCATGCTAGGGAAGTACCGGTAGCGGTGAGTACCGAAAGATAAATATTGGTACTCGATACCGGAAAACCGGTATCGGTGCATCACGAGAGTGTGTTTTCAATAAATGGGCACACTTTTGCTGCAATTTACATTATACAAGCTGCACATGCACATACTGCATGCTGTATATTTGTCATCATCCATTCCTGCCCTCTGAGTAAACTTTGTTTCCTTAAATACCTTCTGCAGGTTCTTGGATCTGCACCTACCATATGTTTATACTCACAAATGTGCACTTTATTTGTTACTCTTTACACAATCCTATAACTCTGCACCATGGCAGACCACAGACACAGATGTGAATTTGCAACTACCCCGTTCTTGTTGAGTAATTGCTCGAAGTGTCTCCCAGCCTGCATATGGATGAGACATCTTCCCCTTAATAAACTGCAGACAAGACGGAAAACTGATGGAAATTCTAGAGGCGGCCCTGAACTCCGAGCTCTGCGTAGACACAGGGGACGTGTAGAAGGCTTCTCTTCCAATTACCATCCGAGAAGCCCGGTCCCGCCGCAGCGTATTTAGCTGCCCAATTAGAACATTAATTTGTAATTCCTATTATTATTTGAATAATAAAATTATCAGTCGAGCACGTAGAATAACCGGCAGGGATCGGTTTACAGCAGATGAGGAGTGCTGTAGGAAAATACGAAAGAAAAGTTTTCATTCCGGCTAATTGGTTTAAAAGGATAAGCGCGCTCTTCCTCTAACAAATACTAGTATTTGACTCGCTGGACCCAAAACAGTAACTACAAATTGGTATCTGTATCCTCTAGAAAAGCCTGGCTAAGGCAGGGCTTCGTACATTTTTGGCACCATATAAATAACTGTAATAAATAAATATGTTAAAGCTGAATGTGTTTCCTGTTCCCGTGTGCCTCACCGTGACTTCTATAGACTCATCTTCACAATATAAAACATTTCACATTAGTGAGCCCCTATAAACACCTTCCAGTGGTATTACGCCATGCCGGTCTAATTCAATCCACCAAAAATAAAAAGGAGAACTATGGGGTAAGTGTTTTTCCCCATAGTTCTCCTAAGGGTCACGGGAGGACATAAACTAGCGTCCTCCCGTGACCCAAAGCTCAGCAGATTTTGAGCTACAGCTCGCTGTATACCGAGACAGCCGCAGCCACCGCCGCAGCAGATGACGGGATCCGCCCAGCTGCGTGAGTGACAGCTGGCTCTACCCATCTAGAGGCAGAGCCAGCTGTACCCGCCCCCTCCCCTGTCTGTTCCGCCAGTCAGCGCTGGACGATCGGAGCGGGGAGGAGAATCCCTGCAGGAAGCCGTGAGCGACAGTCACGGCTCTCTGCAGGGACATGATCGAGAAGCGAGCGACGGTACATGTTTGCTCACTTCCCGATCTATAGAGCCGACCTGTGACAGCTTCATTGTCACACGCCGGCTCGAACTATGGAGATGAGTGAAAATCACTCACCTCATAGTTCTCCTTTAAGGAGCAAAGAGAGCCCATAATTTAAATCCAGCCCAAAGGATTGCAATCTCCATCTGATGCAACCTTGCAGCACCAGCGATCTTCATAAATAAATGCCATCGATCACCCATTCTAGAACACGGGCTCTAATAATTAAACACTTCTGGCTTGTACAGGGCAGAGACAAACAGCTACAATTAGTTATCTGATAAATAGTTGTGCTCTTCCTGCTGACTCAGTCAGCCTTCTTTTAATACTGTGAGAAGCTCTGCGCAAATGTTACTGAGTGACAAACGTAATTAGATGCATCAACCAGAGGTTTTATTAAAATCTCCACCAGGGGCACTGTTGCATCAAAACTTAAAGTGATAGTAAAGGCAAAAGGTTTTCAAGCTATTTCAAATGCTGATGAAATCACTTACAATGGATGTTGCTCCTTGATGTTTAAAAGTTTTAGATTTCTGCAGAGTCAGCTGGTCCCCTGAGCACTGGTCTTGATATCATGTTGTAGAGTGGCTCCTTTCCTTTGCAGGGTTCTATGGAGCCACCCTTGTGTGTGCTAGTACGCTGTGTGTCAGTTGATCCCCTAAGCACTGGCACGGATATCCTGTTTTAGGGTGGCTCCTTACCCTTGCAGTGTCCTATGGAGTCACACTTTTTCTTTTATTTTAGTAAGCTGCGTGTGTCTCTGCATACACACAGACACAGCAAGACAATCCCCCCCCTTCCCATTAGCCCCACTTCTCCATTCTCTTTCCTTATTCCTCCTTCCTCCTCCCTGCTCCAAAAGCTAGTAGATGGGCAGCTGCTGGAGGCTGCTCTGTCCCTTGTATTCTTGTACTGGACAGGAAGATCAGAGAAGTTGTACTGAGAGAGTTGGAGCTGTTCAGAAACATGATGACTAAGTGCTTGACCAAAAATGTAAAGAAATACTTTGCTGGGCAATGTATATTTGTTTCTGGATTCATTATGGAAAGAAAGATTGAGAGTTTAAAACTACTGCAAAAAATATCTATTAAAATATTACCAAAAGAAAGCTCCATCTGTCTCAAAAGTCATACAAAATTCGGGTGCAGTGCTGCATGACCAAGTAATTGTCAGGCAAACTACCATAGCACTGAAAACTGCAAAATGGCCGGAACTGAAGGGGTATATACTGGGTGTATACAGGGTATATATCGACGGGCACTCCAGTGGTGCAGCAGGCTCTGCTGTACCTCACAGTGTAGAATTTTGTTGGCCACAGAATTTACATCTGCACTGACACCTCCGATGAAGTAGGGGAACACACACTTCCTGTGGGAGTCCTGTGGGAGGTTTACATATGCACTGACACCTCCGATGAAGTAGGGGAACACACACTTCCTGTGGGAGGTTTACATATGCACTGACACCTCCGCAGTAGTAGGGGAACACACACTTCCTGTGGGAGGTTTACATATGCAGCGACATGGGCAATGCTGGTCTCTGCTGTATGCCAGGAGAGAAAAGAACTTGTTTCAGAGATTTCTCACAAACCTATCCATGAACATTGCAGCTCCTGGAAGTCTCCTGATTAAAGCACATGGCAATAAGTCGTTTTCAGTCGTGTCCCCTTTAAACACCAAGTCGGCACTGCTCTGGAACTAGGTGTCGT